GTTTGGAGAGGAACAGCTAAAGAAAAGGTCTTGTGTATTTTTTTTCTTCTTCTCTACTATTAATACAAAATGAACTTTTCCTTTGCCTTTTTTGAGACTTCTTCCAGCCTGTCTGCCTAGTACATTGCTTTTCATTTTTCTTGCTTTGCTCCAGCCTGTTAGTTTAAAATGGTTTTGGTACATAGCTGTGGTGGTATACTTGTGAACATCATAAAATTCTGATCTGCTTCCAACTGGTCTGCGTCAGTGTTGTCTAAATAGAACTCCTAATTTCTTTTATTATTCTTGATCCACCTCTGTTTAATCAGCTCTTGCCAGCAGTAGATTACCTGGAGAATGATACCTGTGTAGCTACCACAGCTCCCTTTGAACCTTGGGTTCCTGCAAACTCCATTGCCAGCTGATGCTGTACCAGCATGGTGTGTGTCAAGGAGGGCTTTGCATTTCTGTAAGTGTCTCTAGATGTATATGGCAGTAGTCTTTCCATCTGCACTTAAATTCTTCCCTTCCTTAAATTCCGCAAGCAGCTTTTCTGATGTTGAAATAAGACCTTTTGGGACAAAGATTAACTTTTTGTTCTAATATTTATCATGTGTGCCAGAAGGTACAAATCTAGCATAGAGAATGTGTTTGTTTTTTTTTTCTGTGGGTGAAGAGCATGAGATGACTATTCATTCTGCTCTTTGTAAAATGTAAATTATTGTCAGGATAACAACAGGCTGTAATACAGGGTTTGGTATTTTACTATGTACATTGCAAACCGCTGTAGCGTTAACTTTGCTTCTTATCTAGGGCTGCATAACATCTCAGGTTGTTTTTTCACATCTGCTACAAACCAAAATTTTTATCTTCCGCGTTCATGCTTGATGAGTAGCCAGCGGATATTAGCAGCAGGGTTTTGAGCAAAATGCTTGGCCAAGTTCTGCATTTTATGGCCACTGCAATAAGGCAAGCCTTTAATACAAGCCTTTTCCAGCACAGCTGAAACACAGCTTCTGTGCAGATCCCCTGTCTGCTGACACAGAAATGTGTCAAATTTTTTTTTTTCCAGGCATTTTGCTGCTCCTGAGCTGTCATGCTGGCTTGTTGGAGGGTTGGTGGCTGGCTCTGACCTGGCTGGAGGACCGGAGCAGCCCCCAGTACAGGATTAGGAGGTGTGTGAATTAATGCGTATTTATATGCGTTGTTCTGAGAGGCATTTGCAAGCAGGCATACAGATTTTTGTGTATTAAGTGTATTTTTAGCAAACTTCTTAAGGTGCTTTTTGCATCACTTCTGCAAATTACAATGCAATTAGCTTGTTCCTACTGTTGCCTTATTAATTACTGTGATGGATTTAAACTGATTTGGGAAAGGATGGATTGAGCCCCCCCCCCCCCCCCTTTTTTTTTTTCCTTAAACTGTTCATTAAGTCTCCATTGCATTTCATCATTAATCTTTCAGAAAAATAGTGATGACTTAGTGCCAGGTTCCTGCCTCTGGAGAGTAAAGGTGACAACAACTACTTTCTACTCTGAATGACCCTCTGCATTAGGAGCCGTTCAGTTCAGTGCTAAGTAAATATTCATGAAAATGCCCCCTTCTTAAAACGGGGTCATTTGGAAATAGTTGTGTTCCCGTACAAATATTGTAGTTGATTTTTTTTGCAGATTGTTTCTATTAGAAACTTGAATCAGGAAATGCAGAATAAATACTATTTGAAAGTAAGAGGTAATGAAACAGCTGTATCTTGTTTAAACCACTTACTTGCAATAGCAAGAGTGTGTTTTTGACCATTTTAAATACCTTTTTTGTATTACTAGGTAGATTTGTGTATTCACACGTCTGGGATAGATGCTGTTTTAAAATACTAATGGTGATGATTAAGGGATGGTGTGGTTCAGAAAAGCTTTTGTTACGGAATAATTGTGAACTATGAGTTAATTTATATGCTTTGAGTTTCATTTCATATAAAAACACATGTAGAAGAAAAAAAATCTATTTACTTGAAATTGTACCTGTGAATTATATTGAAAGAAAACCGCGTAATAAAATAATGTAGAAGTTGCTGAAGGCCTGGCATGTACAAGTATGTGGGAATGGTAATCTACATTGCATGAATAATTTTTTTGAATTACTAGAGTGACGAATATTCTCTTGCAGGGAACAATACAGTAACCCTTATTGTAGCTATGACAATGTATTTTTAGTATCAACTAATTTTCAAATATGTCAAACTAAGCTTTTTATATTTTTTAAAGATGGATGGAATATTTCCTGATGAAAAGGTTTGTAGCTTACAAACTACGAAGTGTGATTTAGTCTGATGCAAATACACTCATAAATATGCAGTTTGGGTTGCAAGGTGCTTGTTCCTACAGCCAGCACTGTTTATGAGCAGCTGGAGGTGCTTTTTGTATTTGAAGCTCTTTGTATTTGAAGTCTCATTTTAACTAATTATCCTTAAATAATAATAACATGTATTTTGCTTACATTCAAGCGTGACTGAGTTATTATCCAGACCATTCTATGGAGGTACTTAATTTTAAGATGCTTAGATGTGGCAGAGATGAAACTGCGTTATTGATGTCCTGGCCAGTGTGTTTTTCCTCTTAATGGATGTATTTCGTACTGTCGTTAAAAGGGTTTGAATGACTTGGTGGGCATCTGAGCTTTAATTTCTCTGATATTTCTATGTTGAAGAGGTACTCTTAGACTGAAACAATACTGTTAAGCTCATAAATTCCCTAAGTTTGTTCATGTTGTGTATGTTTTGCTGCTTCTCCCCAAAATAGACTTCTAATGGATTTTCCTAGCCCCTGCGCTTCTCCTTCGCTGTCATTTAGACGAAGTTTTCCGGATCCTTTTCAAATTCTTCGCTGTGCTCGATTCTGACAAGACAAGCATTGTTTTTTACTGAGAGCCTCTAAATTAACAGGGGAGGTCATGTCTGAATTCCCTCTGGTCTCATGTGGGTATTCTTACAAACACTCCACTTGAAAGGCTGACTTTATTTTATCAAGGAGAAAGCCTCATTTTGAGCCTTGGAATGAAATAAATGGCTGAAATTGTAATGCTAGTTGATATGACTAATGCGAAAGCTTTTATTATGCTTTCTTCTTCAGCAGGCAGTTTGAGTAATGCTAATAATTAGTGCCTTTGTTAGGAGGATTTGAGGGACCTGTGGGGGTGGCTAAGACCAAAAGAGCAGTACTGAGTCAAGGCATACATCGAAAGTGTAGTCTTGCTCTAGCACAGGAGGAGGGAATGAGGAAAGCAGGCTATCTGTCATCTGGTCAACCTTACAAATTACCAGCTTCTTGCATTACTGAAAGCAAGAAGCAACACAGATGTAGGTTTTTCTGGTGATTTTTATTTGCATGCACAAGGAATTGGAGTGACAGTAGGTGAAGACAAATTAAATTTCTCAAGAGCAAAAGGGTTTTGTAGCAGTACAAGTCTGTGTCGTCTTGCAGACAGTACTTGAAAAGTCTGGTCTGCTTCCCATCCTGCGCTTCTGCTCGGTCAGTAGTGATGGACTCTGATGTAAAGTTGTGTGTTTTATTGAAATAACCTCAAAATTATGAAAAGCATAAAAAGCACCTTAAACATTAACAAATTGAATCTGTGCTGCATATAACCTTGCTGCATATTTTAAAAGGACTATAGCACAGGCATAATATCTCCCAAGGCTGTCTGGCTGGTTTTGGTCTTCTGAAGTCCCCATTTGGCTCTTTTTCAAGAACACATGATCCATTAATGTATCTTTCTTTGAAAACCTTGTTTCGTATTTATATTTCAAAAAGATAAAACTCTTTTGAATGCATAAGCTCTTCAGGTAGCTGTCATCTGCCTAGGCTTTGTTCACATTAGCAGATAGTTCAACCTACAGAAGTGGAGCTGCAGAGCGAGAAATGAAGGGCCAAGCACCTGGTGTCCAGCCTGTAGGTGTTTTAGGGGCTTTAGTTTTGGTCTAGATCTAGATTTAGCATTCTCTGTTGTTCATTTGCACAAGTTGTTTCAGGAGTTTTTTGCAAAATGTCATAACATGGGGGTTATGCTGCATCAGCAGATGGATGAAGTTGAACTTGACAGTCTGAAGGGAAGATTAGAGGGTTCACCTGAGCATGACTCACTGTGTAGTGAGCACTTTAGTTGTAGAAATTGAAAGAATCTCAGGAAAATCAGGAAAAACACGTCAGTGGTTTTGTTGCACATTTTCTGTCATAACATGGCACTGGAAGAGGCACCTCTAGAGACAGCAGGTTGTATTACATACGCATATGGGTAGTCTTCCAGAGAATGCGTGAACTTTGAGTTCTGAAATCTGTGTCTTCAGAAACAACTCCTTCCTTACTCAGCTTTGCAAAGTGGCTACTAAGAACTCCAGACTTTCAATCTGATTGCATGCCAAACCAAAACTGCACGTATAATTCTATGCACATTAATCCAACTTCAGAATTTTCCATTTAGTCATCAAAGAAATTAATCAATATTGGTGTTATTCCTGTGACAGTGACGCCTCCTCTAGTGAATATAATGGCCTTCGGTATTTGATTAATACTCAAAGAATCAGTGCAGTATTGCACTTTTGTGTGCTCCAGTTTGTATAATTTAATAGAAAATATAATAAACTAAGTCATAAATCCTTTAACTTCTTGTTTGTGTTTCCTTTCAGTTTTGTATATGGAAGATATTTCAAGTAGCTATGTTATTCTTTGGTGTTATTATAGATGTGAAACTTGTAGCTAAAAGAGGATATTGCAATCACATGAAATCTATTTTTATTTCAATACTTGTTGTATCTAAAACTTATTTACAAAAAATAATTACAAGTTAACATTTCTGTAATTTTTTTTACTTCTCTGCAGATGGACTTTATCAGATTTTTAGGGAAAATATTGAAATTTTTTTCCAAGGAAATACTTATTGGGGCACTGTGCGGTTGTGCTAAAATTCACACGCTATTAATGAGCTCGGCTGATGGACACGTGGATAAATCTTGTCTTTTTTTGCCACAGGTCCAAGGAGCTAATAAAGGAAGCGATCCTTGACAATGACTTCATGAAGAATCTGGAACTGTCTCAGATCCAGGAGATTGTGGATTGTATGTATCCCGTGGAGTATGGCAAAGACAGCTGCATCATCAAGGAAGGAGATGTGGGTTCCCTGGTGTATGTCATGGAAGGTACAGTTTAAAGAGCTAATATTTATTTCCTTTTTTTCAACACATACAGAGATGAAAACTTTATTTCATGGGAAAAATGTTTTCAAAGAAAGAGGTTAAAGACATTGTCTAAATATGGTTGTTGAAAAATTGTGTGGACTACTTTTGCCTGGAAAATTTCTGACTAGATTTGTGTGCCTCCCTGTATAAAGAAAGAGGGTGAAAGCTGTTAACCTTGCACTGAGATCCATTGGAATAAACCTCCACTAAATATAGTTCTTTGGCTTTGAGGCAATACCAATGGTTTGCTATATAAATTAGGGACTTAACAGAAAGAATGGTGCTATGGAAGTGGGAAATGACTGTAAAACAAGGAGAATCTGGTCATGGCTCGCTACCTTATAGGGCATTGTGAGGACAAGCTTATAAATGTTGATAAAGCACATGGGGCTCTCTGCAGAAGCAATGCATTGTACAATAGAAAATGGTATTTTTCTGTCCTGTGCACAAAATAAGTGTAGCATCTGCAGTTTAGCACATTTGATTTGTCACAGTATGTGTTGTGGCAGGGTTTTGTTTTCTTGGTGGAATGCAAGAGCAGTGGATATTCTGTTGTTCTTGGGAGCCGTCAGGTTCCTGAAAATCTTTTAGTGGGATAGGTGTCGCCAGTGCTCTGCCTCTCCAAAATGTCAGCTATTTGCATTTTGTGTCTTATTCTTTCCAAGTTCTCTAACTCTTCACATGTCAAGTTGGGCATATTTTATATATGTGGGGTTTTTTTAATGGAAGTGCATGTTCATCTATAGGAGTTACTAAGCTTGATCAAACCTTGTGTCCATCTACTACAGCATCCCTCTTCTGAGAGTGATTGATAATGAGTTCTGAGGCAAATGTCGCTGTTTTAATTTGGATAATGCAACAAGTGAATTCTCAGTTTGATTTGATACAATGCAAACAGATAGATGCTTATAAAGTTCTTCTTGCTCCTTATCACAGCCATCTGGTAGACTTGCAAGCATTTTGGCCAGATAACACCTAAGGGGAATGGAGGTTCTCGCTTGCCTGTATCTTTTGAGGAAATATGGGAAAACTACAGGTTATGTATAACTTGTGTGTTCATACGTACATGCACAAATTCATTTCCTAAATTGTTCTTTTAAACAAAAGTATTTTCAAGGCAGTAAGCCATCCGTTAAACATGGTTTCCTGCCAAACTCTTAATGCTATATAGTTGCAAATGCTCTTCACTCATTTCCCAAAGCAGCTTTAATGTTTTGTCCTTTTAAGGTCAAGTCCTTTCTCAAGGCACAGGTTTAATTCCTTCAGCGTTTAATATTTTTACATTTTGCACATTGAAATGGTATTTTGCTTTATGAAGTACTTAGTGGGGGATGCCAAACCATATTATATGTTTCCACCCCCAGTGTTACATAGAAAGATTTAGGTTTTTCCAATGCTCCATTTGAATACAGAGACTACTTTGATGAGGTGCAGGACCTGTTCTACTGCTAATAAAAAACTGCTTTAAAATAATAGTTGAATAGTATTTTTTTTTTCATAGTAAAACGTGGAGGTTTTTTCACTGTACAGCTCTGTGCTTGCTTCCCAAAACACCACCATGTCAGAGGGACACTCACAGTATTTTTGCTGTGTGGCTAGTTTTGGATGTTGTGTTCAATGTTGTCCCTTGAAAAACCCCGGTAACAACAGGACACCATTAAAATCAGCATTATACTTACCTCCTGCTCAGCCTCTTCACATTCTTTGGAGGGGATTTTGGGGGAGATTTATGGGCAGAACTATTTCCACCACAGTTTGGAGTACTGAACATGGCTTGGTATTCAGATGAGCCTTTGTTTGATACATCTGATGATGAGGTACTATAACTGTCACTTCCTTGAATTTACCATATGTTTCTAATTGTTGGTCGAAACTCTATCCCTTAATTCTTGATTCTTGTCTTCTAAAACAAATGTGTGTTAAAGACAACTTTTGCATCTTTTGGGCACTTGAGCTTATCCTTGCTCTTCTGGCAACCTTCTATGTATGAGGGCATGACTTGGCTCCCCCCCAGTCTTTGGTTGGTCTTGTAACTTAATTTAAGATTATTTAGATAGCTCTGTAAATATGCATAATGCTTTACAAACAAAATTATGAAGAGTTTATAGTCTATGTTTAGACATAATGCAATGAGCGATGATGAAGTAATGGAAATGGAAGAAGACATTATCAAATGGGTTGGATTGTGGTTATGAGAGCAGGCTCACTAGCTCATTTTGGCTTAGCAATCTGTGTCCTCTCAGTTATTAACACCCACCACCACCCCCAACTATAAACTTTATTCTTTACAAAACGCTACTGGAGAAATCCATCTTTATGAGTATTACTGAGGTATTTTCTTTTCTCAAAAATCAAATAAATGCTGCAAGTGCTTCTTCCATTAATTCCTCTTTCTTTCCTTGCTTCGGCTTATAGCCATGATTAATATGGATAAAAATTACTCATGTAGAGCATTTGATAACCAATACTCTTATGCTTGTTTATAATTTATGATTCAGCATTTAGATAGAACCTCTTACCAGAAGTCCGAGTTATATATTGGTGATGTTTCCTTAGACTAATTTTAAATCATAATTTAAGTAAGATGGATTTGAAAACATCCATCATTTTCACCGTTACTTTCTGCATTCTCGTTTATCATGGTGAAGTAGTAGTGTCTGTTTTAATTTTCCCCTCTAGACACAAGGACTCTACTAGTCCGGATGAGACCTTTATAATTATGATCCCTGAATATTTTGTTTCTTTACCATGGATGTTAAAATGCATATGTATGTGGCAGTGGCTGAGCTCGGTGAATCTTCAAAGGCTGATGAATGTTGACCTCCACGCTTTTTCTTCTTCACTATGGCTTTATGATGGTAATTACCTTTCTGAAGGTAATTCCAGGTTTGCTATGTTCCTTGGGTGGGAATGGCTGCAGCGTTGTACCTCAGCAAAGAGTCAGGAAAAGGCTTGACTCCACTTTTCCGTGTTCTCTTTGGTTCTAGCAGAAAGGTAATTTCATGCTGTCCAATACTGGGTTTACATGTGCAGTCATTTTTATTCGTGCATTTGCCCAACCCTACCCACACTAGCAGGCTTGAC